TTATCTCTGGGGGAAACTGAGGCCTAAACAGTTGGAATGATTTGCCCAGAAAGTTCCAGAGTTGTAAAATCTGAGCACTGAATTCAGGGCGTCTGACCCATCGTCCGTGGTAGATTCTGAACCCACCATAAGAACTGCTTTTGGTAAGTCCTGACCTTCAACATATTCCTGATTTTCATTTCCTTCTGTATAAAGACTTTCCGACTAGTCTCCTAGCTCCTTCCTTCCACAGCCCATTCTCCACGGCAACAGTCAGGATGATGTTTCTAAAATGTAAATCAGAACCTACCACTCCCCTACCTCTAGACTTCAGTTCCTCTTTAGTGCACTTAGAATAAAATCCAAACTTCTTCCTATGCCTCACAAGACCTTCTATGGTCCAGCTCTCTTTCTGATCTCATTTCCTGCTAGCCTTCCTCTAGTAGTCACTATGCTCCACCACAGACCCTCCCTCAGCTGGCCAGTAAGGCAGGCCTGGCCCGGCCATGAGTATTTGCTTTGCTAGTCCTTCTGCTGGGAATGCTGTTCCCCAAACCACTGCCCAGCTACTTCCTCCTCATTGTTTGGCCTTTGCTGTAATGGCCACCTCCTCACTCAGCCTCACTCTGTTGTTAGGACATCTAACATTGCCCCTAACCATACCACTCTCTATCACATGGTGTTATTTTCTTCATAGCATTTACCACCAGCTATTAATACATTACATTACTTACAGATTTGATTTGGAGTTTGTCATGTTTCCCAACATTAGAATATAATTTCATGGAATATAAGAATTTTGTCTTGTTTTCCACAGTCCAGTCCCTAGATCAGCAAATCCCAGTCATCGGTGTTTAACAAAACATTTGTTGGATGAACAAATGAATGAATTGTGTCTGAATTTTTGTCTCATTTCCAAGCATCCTCTCTCCCTCTGTTTCTCCTCGATCCTATTACTCAACTATTCTCTCAAAAAATTTTTCTCTATTATAATCAAACTGATTTCCTTGTAAACCTGCAAGGACAAAACTTACTCTTGACTAGGAGCCTTTTAAAATTTTCTCTTTGACCAAACACCCACCCTATGCCTCTCTAACTATTTAAGTTGTATCACTGTGTTACAGTATGAGTCACATTCAGTTTCCATGGAATCATGTCTCACAGCTTTCGTTGACTGCCCTTTCTTCAAGTTATGGAAAGTGACCCTTACATTTTATATAATCTAAATACTCATATATAATCTATATTGTCTTCAATTATTTCTACATCATAATACCTGGGCACTGTATCTAGGCACTGTGAGAGAGAGAGAGAGACTGAGAGAGAGAAAGTGTGTGTTGTGTGTGTGTGTGTGTGTGTGTGTGTGTTTGAAGGGTAGGACAGTGGCTCCTCATTATTTGCAAATTCTGCATTTGCAAATTTTCTACTCACAGAAATTTATTTGCAACCCGAAAATCAATACTTGTGTCACTTTTGTGGTCATTTGTGAACATAACATGGAATGGTGAAAAATTAGTCACCCAAGGTTCACGTTACTGGCTGAGATGGAGCAAGGCAGCACTGTGCCTTGTTGTTTTAGCTTTCATGCAATAAACTAATGTCCTGTTTGTGGTCTATTTAGTGGTACGTTTTTTGTATTTTGTGCTTTTTGTTGGTGATTTCACTGAAATGGCCCTAAGTGTAGTGTTGAAGCTCTGTCTGGTGTTCCTAACCACACGTAGACTGTGATGTGCCCTACAGATAAAATACTTGTGTGTTAGATAAGCTTCCTTCAGGCATGAGTTATGGTGCTGTTGGCTTTTAGGTCAATGTCAATGAATCAATAGTATATGTTAAATGTAAGGTGTCTTTAAATAGAAATACACATAAAACAGGATTATATAATGGCTGGTTAATGAAAATGTGACCAGAGGCTCACAGAAACCTAACTCTGTATTTCCCCTAGGAACAATAATTTCACATTTCCTAAGTCAGTGTTCTGTTCATGAAAATTTTAGAGAACATAACTACTGTGAATAACAAGAATTCACTATATGGTGTGTGAGTATATATATGTTGGCATTAGCCTCATTTAGGAGTTTAGGAGACAAAGACATCAAGACTTATTGAAATTAAAAAGTTTGTCCAAGGCTAGGTGCGGTGGCTCAGGCCTGTAATCCCAGCACTTTGGGAGGCCGAGGTGGGTGGATCACCTGAGGTCAGGAGTTCAAGACCAGCCTGGCCAACCTGGTGAAAGCCTGTCTCTACTAAAAATACAAAAACTATTTGGCCATGGTGGCAGGCGCCTGTAATCCCAGCTACTCGGGAGGCTGAGACAGGATATTCGCTTGAACCTGGGATGTGGAGGTTGCAGCGAGCCGAGATCATGCCGTTGCACTCCAGCCTGGGTGATAGAGCAAGTCTCCATTTAAAAAAAAAAAAAAAGAAAAAGAAAAACAGAAGAAGTTTGTCTAAGATCATTTGCCAAACTGCTAAATAAATGGTAGACCTGAAATCTGGCTGCCACATTCCGAAGTCTTTTGGCTTTTCATTTACCACCCCAGTGGCTTTTCTTTGTTTTAATTAGCTATTGAGCTCTGATTATTACAGGATACTTCTACAGACACACACATACACACACACACACACACACACACACACACACACACAGAGTCATGCGCCTCATAAAGATGTGGGTCAGTGACAGGCCACATGTGTGATGCTGGTCTCTTAAGATTATACCATGTTTTTACTGTACCTTTTCTATGTTTAGATATGTTTAGATACACAAATACTTGCCATCGTGTTACAGTTGCTTACAGTATTCAGTAGAGTAACACGGTATATAGGATTCCAACCTAGGTACCATATAGCCTGAGTGTATAGTAGGCTGTCCCATCTAGGTTTGTGTAAATACTCTCTATGATGTTTACACAATGATGAAATCTCCTAAGGAATGTGTGACTGTGTATATGTGTATTTATTTGTATGTGTGGATATATGTATGTGTGTGTATATACATATGTATATGTGTAAAATATAAGTGGAATATGCTGAGTTGAAAGAAAAACTATATACAGAAAAGTCAAATGAAGATAATTTTAAAACAGCTTGCTTCATAAACCTAGGTTAGTGTTTATTTACAGTCATCCCAAACTACAAAAGAGAAGTAAAAATACCTCTTTGTTTAGGAATAATATGTACAAATGATTTCTTTTTTATCATGGAAATGTAAGTGTGACAGGTGGCCAAACCCTAAAAATTCAAAGCTATAAAACTGCTTCCATGACCTGGACATGTTTCCTGGCCTGTGGATGTACATCTTAAACTTGCCTGTTATTTATCTGAGCTGAACTCACACCTGCGCATGGTATACAGTTAGGCATGCTTGGGTCTGATTTCCTAAAGAACTACAACCTTTCTAATCAGTTTCACATTTACATATAAAGAGATGACAGGAGGAATTAGATCCTGAAATCTGTGCATAACAGGTTCACATGGATGAATTCACTGACTTTGTGGTCTAAAGTGATTTATATATACACACATATACACTGATATATATGTGTGTATAAATATATACATATACATTAAGACATATTTTTACATACTTCGTAATTTGTTTTCATCACTTAAATATTTTTGGAACCTTCAAAGCACCTTGATGAACACAGTTTGAAAACGCTGTGGTTTTTTTCTTTTCCTTCTTCTTGTGTTCTTCTTTTCTATGTAGACTGTATGAGCTCCTTAAGGGTAAGAATGATATCTTTTGTGCTTCTGTATTTGCAAATAGATCTTAGCTTAGTACTAAAATATAGAGAAGTCTCTTACCACTGATAATCCAGTTTTGTTCAGATGGTTGATAACGAGCTACATTAAAGCAAAGATTTCTGCAGCATTGTGTTTAGAATTAAATAGTGTAATGGAAGGATGTCACCTGGTTGTGGGGAGCAAGAGTCTCCATGCATAAAATATATGTGTTTTTTTTTAATATGGTTATCTCTTGATACTTCTTTTTCCCTTGAAAATGAGAGCCATTCATGAGGCTTAACTTAATACTTCTCAACTTTTAAAAAGCTTCCAGGGATAAGATTGAGTGAGGGGCTTCCAATATTGAGTCAAGACAAAATAACGTTTTATGTCTACCTCAAGGCGATAGTACGAACACTGAACAGTGTTACAGAAAGGGACTAAGGGATCCTTAAAAGTTGTGTCGGCCGGGCGCGGTGGCTCAAGCCTGTAATCCCAGCACTTTGGGAGGCCGAGACGGGCGGATCACGAGGTCAGGAGATCGAGACCATCCTGGCTAACCCGGTGAAACCCCGTCTCTACTAAAAAAATACAAAAAACTAGCCAGGCGAGGTGGCGGGCACCTATAGTCCCAGCTACTCGGGAGGCTGAGGCAGGAGAATGGTGTGAACCCGGGAGGCGGAGCTTGCAGTGAGCCGAGATCCGGCCACTGCACTCCAGCCTGGGCGACAGAGCGAGACTCCATCTCAAAAAAAAAAAAAAAAAAAAAAAAAAGGGTTGTGTCATTATTGAGCTGAAAGAACTAATAGGTATGAGCTTTGAATTCTGAAATCACTCTTATTTCAGTATTTTGTGATATTTTATATTCTTTTAATTAAATGGCTACATGTCCAGTGACTTTAATGATCCTATCTTGAGGAGCTATGCCTTTCACAAATCAAAGTATCAAAATTGATCTATTTTTCAGCAATTTACCGTACAGTTGAGTTTCATTGTGCAGATAAAATTGGATTAACCACATGACCCCACCTGTGGCTTTGCTAGCTCAGTCACTTTTTCACCTGTGCAAAGGACATCTGCATTCAAAGATGGCGACCCAATGGCTTTGTCCTTCCAGGGTTCAGTAAAAATATCTACATTTTAAAAAATAAACCCCTCTCAGAATTTGTTTAGCAAATTCCCAGCCCCAGAAGAATGCACATGCAGGAGAAGGATTCCAGCCTTTTTAGCCTCCCACTCATGCTTATTTTTCAGTGGAGATTATTGAAAACAGTAATTCTTTCTTGCTTCAGGAAAAGCTGTCAGAGGAAGAGAGAAAACATAAGGAAGCTTTGGAAGATCTTCACATGGTGGTTGATGAGGATTCGAGGAGTGAAAGCAGCAGTACAGATGAGGGGAAGGAAAAGACCAAATTGCTATTAGAGAGATTGAAAGCTCTGGAGGTAAGAAATGAAGCAATTTTTACACTCTTCAAGAAAAATAAGTGTTCTGCTTCTTTTATTGGCACTGGTTTTCAGTGAGTATAAATCTTCCCTTTTCAGTTCTCCCACACTAATACGATCTATCATTTCCTACTGAGATTTGCCTACGATGAACAAAAAGTTAGCACTGAAAGGGTCTTGACTTTATATTGTTTTAAAAGGAGTACATAGGGCAGTAATTGATTTTAACTTAAATTCAGCCCTCAAACTGGATTAATTCCTAAAATTGCAAGCTCCTTGAGGTAAGGGGCTATGTGATATTTTACCTTATTTTCGCGAGTAACTGGTAGAATGAATGGATGAATGAATGAATGAATGAATGAATGACTAAGCAAAATATTTAATAGTATGTAAAGATGATTGGACACACACTCTGAGATGTTAAGCGGTATAGTCATATCTTTAAAAAAATATGCAGGAATTAAACGTGCAAAGCATCTAACAGTGGAACTGAAACTGGCTAAGGAGACTTAAGGAGATTTTTGGAGCGCTGACATTCTCCAGTTGCCTCCAGATCAGTATATGATAACACTAGTCTGTTACCTAGTGGCATTTGACATTATTTCAAGTGTTAATTCATGAATTTTACAGCAGTCATGAAAGACCATTCCAGTTACTAGTTCTTGATTGAAATGTCGCATGCTTGAAGACTCAGCAAAGATTTTTTTTTTCTATGAATTCACTTACCTCCTTTCGATAAGCTTATAAAGGGCCTTCACTCAGCATCTAAAAACACAGTTCTACCATAGAGTCCACAGAATCCTGAATACTCTACTAGCATAAAGGAATAAGACCTGGAGGCCGGGCACGGTGGCTCACGTCTGTAATCCCAGCACTTTGAGAGGCCGAGGCAGGTGGATCACGAGGTCAGGAGATGGAGACTATCCTGGCTAACACAGTGAAACCCCATCTCTGCTAAAAATACGAAAAATTAGCTGGGCGTAGTGGTGGGTGCCTGTAGTCCCAGCTAGTACAGAGGCTGAGGCAAGAGAATGGCGTGAACCCGGGAGGTGGAGCTTGCAGTGAGCAGATTGTGTGCCACTGCACTCCAGCCTGGGTGACGCACTAAAAAAAAAAAAAGAAAAAAAAGAAGACCTGGAGGGGTCTTGTTTTCTATGCTTGGTTTCTGCAGTGCTACCTCAGATCTACCACATTATCTATAATGAGCATATCCATTTTACACTAATTTCCTCGGTGATAATAAAGCAGAATGGTGAGATGATGCACTTTGAAGCCCAGTTCTTGGGATTTGGTTTGAATCCCTGTTCAACTACTTTCTAGCTTTGAAACCATCAACGTTACTTAGGCTCCCCATGCCTCTGTTCCCTCAGCTGAAAGCATGGGGACAGTAATGGTAACTAGCTTTACAGGGAAGTAATGAGGATTACATGAGTCATTATTTTTTAAATGATGCCTGGTGCATAGTCTCTTTTATTCATTCACAACAAACCGACTCCTTTTCCTTAATTTTGTTCCTACTTATCTGGGCACAATGATTAATAATATAAAGACTGTGAATGAAAGAGTTTGGCTACTCCACACAGGTGTGACCAAAGGCAGACAGGTAAGCCAGTAGCTTCAAACACAGAGCAGAAGAAATATCAACTAAAGTAATCACTAGTAACTCCCTCTGGGCAAAGAGCTAGGAATCAGCCTTGTCTCCTCAAGGGTTCTCATTCTTTTGTCATTTTTTGAAGATAGTCACTATAAAAGATAGAAAAGCCTTCTCAAGGGAAACTGAGGTTCCTATTTGAGTTTGAAGAAACTCATAGCTTTGTCTTGAGGTTGAATTAAATAGATTTTACTCCCAGAAAACCGTGTACTTAAATCGTTAGTTTTTGTTTATGACTACAGAGAAAATTAATCTTAGTTCATGGCATTGTTAGAGATAAAAATGAAAAGGACGTTTTACTTCATTAAGCTAAGAGGTCTTTAAAAAATGTATTTCCACACCAGTTAGAATGGTGATCATTAAAAAGTCAGGAAACGACAGGTACTGGAGAGGATGTAGAGAAATAGAAACACTTTTACACTGTTGGTGGGACTGTAAACTAGTTCAACTATTATGGAAAACAGTGTGGCAATTCCTCAAGGATCTAGAACTAGAAATACCATTTGACCCAGCCATCCCATTACTGGGTATATACCCAAAGGATTATAAATCATGCTGCTATAAAGACACATGCACACATATGTTTATTATGGCACTATTCACAATAGCAAAGACTTGGAACCAATGCAAATGTCCATCACTGACAGACTGGGTTAAGAAAATGTGGCACATACACACCATGGAATACTATGCAGCTATGAAAAAGGATGAGTTTGTGTCCTTTGTAGGGACATGGATGCAGCTGGAAACCATCATTCTCAGCAAACTATTGCAAGAACAGGAAACCAAACACCACATGTTCTCACTCATAAGTGGGAACTGAACAATGAGATCACTTGGACACAGGAAGGGGAACATCACACACCAGGGCCTGTTGTGGGGTGGGGGGAGGAGGGAGGGATAGCATTAGGAGATATACCTAATATAAATGACGAGTTAATGGGTGCAGCACACCAACATGGCACATGTATACATATGTAACAAACCTGCACGTTGTGCACATGTACCCTAGAACATAAAGTATAATAAAAATACATATATTTGGCAGCAAATGCTTCTTAAACTGTAGTGAGTAAAAGAGAAACAGTATCTTTTTTCCTTACATAGAGTTCTTTACACTTCAGGCAACAACTCTTGATTCCAGCATTAGTTGAATGCAATAGATGATATCTGTAAGCACCATTAAGCCCCACTATTTTCTTTCATAAAACTATTTTATTTTTTAAATTTCCTATAGTCATAGTGTCTCTGCTTGTTTCCTAAAATTCATTGTTCAATATTAAATGAACTTTCTCCTTGCCTTCACATCTTACTATCTTCTACTTGAACAAGATTATTTCATTTTATAACAAAATATGTAAAATAAGAAATAAAAATATGTTTGTAGATATATATAAATATATCTTCTTATATAATATATAGATGTCTTTTTGTCATACATGTAATTCAATTTTCATATGAATTTTATATGCTACTTATTTTTTTATTTTAAAATATTTTCTCCATATTCTCAGTGTCTAGTATCTTTGCATGAGTTAAACATCGTTGTGGGAAAATAGAGAACTGGTTTTGACAGACTGCAGTCAGAGCTGGTCACAGACCCCGTGTGGATTTTTATGCTTTAACGAAATGCTCCCTTGGAAGATTGCAAGGGAATTAATTATAATGTGTCAAAAATTACTTTGGCAAAATTTGATATACAAGATTTTTTAAAAAACAGAGAATATTTTCTGTCAGTGTATTTTTGGAAGGCAGCTAGGCTCACCAATATACCACCAGCACCCCATCAGCGTATTTTTGAAATGACCGTATTTGTATACCCTAATCTCTTGGCCCCTGGTGTTGTAGATCACAGAAAGGAATGATTTTCAGGGTGGTGGAAAGCAGTCTTCTTTAATTCCTCCTCCCCCAACAGGTTCCAAGGAAGTGTAGAAAATGAAATACAGATATGACTTCTATATTACGTTCTTTATTACTGTGACAATGATATTCAAAAACAACTTGAGGAGCCCTTAACTGACAAAATTGAGTTAATATTGTCTAAGCAAAACACCCCCCAGCCACAACCCCTGGATTATTCCCTCTTGTCACCATTTCCGGGGCACGTTCCTACTCACATTCATCAATCAATTCCTCTTTCTTCTCCACCCACCAACCACCTGTGAAACAGCGCCCCCTATACTTGATTTTTCCCAACTCCAACCCTAGGAAGGATATGGGGTTATGGCAGAACATTCTGGAGGCTAAGGGCCTTCAACTCTGTCTTTTGATAGTTCTGTTTCCTGTCAGTCCTTTGGTTGCAGGGTATTTCTCAGTAGCCTTTCTCCTCAGTTTCCAGATCCGCCTTAGAACGTGGCCAGCTCTGTCCCACTTACTCTCCTCTCCCTCAGCCACCTTCTCCCACAGCCAGGTTCTGTCTGTCTTTTAATTTACGGAGCTGTCTAGATCTCTGCATGCCACGTCATGGGCTCATTCCATACCATCCCCATGCTCGGCAAAATATTGTGCTAATTAAGACCTTTACCTTCCTAAAAACGCCTCCAGTGCCAACAGTCAAAAGTATAAAAATTATAATTATACACACTCTCTCTTTCTCTCGTCAGCCTTATTTTCTGTACTGAGTGCATCGGTTTCAGCTGTTGCCAGCTCTTCACGGTGAAGAGTAGACCGTTTACCCTCACTACCAGCCACGGCTCCCTCTGGGCTTAAATTCTAATTTGTGTTTAGGGTCCTGGTGCCTGGAGGAGAAATCATTTGGTGTATATTGGTGTCATAGGGCACACATGGGCAATCTGGATGGCACTTGCACATTTTATGTAACTTCTCAGTGCCTGAATGTAGCATTTTCTATGTTTTTTAAAACTTTGGGTTTTCAAGGCTGCTGTTTCAGAGACTGCTTACTTGACTTAGAACAAAGCTCACCATTCTCAACAGCACTGCCATGTCTCAGGTCCCTTCTATGAAAGGATCACTCCTTTCTCCCATGCCACCAGAGGCCACTGATTCAAGGAATCTTCCCAGACCTGCCCTCCAGTATTCACTGGCTTCATCTGGAGTCTTCCCTGTTCTCCACTCCTGGGCATTTGCCCCACTCAGGTCCCAGATTTGCTCGTGGCATGTTCCTTGAAAGACATGATTTGTTTGTCTGCAGTCCCCGCTCCTGACACTCCCACGGGGCCCTTCTCTCCACTCAGGGACCAACTGCACACCTGACTAAACGTGAAGCTGGACGTTCCCTTGACTCACTCCCAACTCACACTGCATCTCTGATTCTCAGCTTCTAACCATGGGGAGAACAGGCCCGCCACCACCTGAGAGTCCTAAGCCTAAAAGCATGTGCTGCTAACTT